CACACGTTATGGGGGAAAGAGGATTTTTGTGCACTGGATGGACAAAAGCAACAGGTGCCCACCAAAATGACTTGAGTACTGATGGACGGCATGAGATAATACTTCAGCTTTGAGGCTTTGAAGGGGGGCTAGGTCTTACAATAATGTCAGCATGATTTATTAGGCAGGTGTAGGCTCTCAGCATGTTCAGGGAAGTGGCAACTCCAGAATTTCTACATCTCTCTCTTTTTTTTAAAGATTGTAGGTAGGTAGGTAGGTAGGTAGGTATGTATTTAGAGAACTGGGGGAGGGGCAAAGGGAGAGGGAGAAAAAGAATCTCAAGCAGACTCCCCACTGAGCATGGAGCCCGATGTGGGACTCGATCTCACGACCCTGAGATCATGACCTGAGCCGAAATCAATAGTCAGATGCTTTACCCACTGACCCATCCAGGTGCCCCTCTACATCTCTTTTTTGAAAAGATATAGTAGCCTGTCTTGGAGGGTGTGGAGGGCCCCCCCTCTCAACAAGTCACCCCTTGGAATGGCCACTGGCTGGGACAGAGTGGTGATATCCCAAATCCAGCCTCTGCACAAAGGCTGCTCAAACCAAGTGACATTCCAGAGCTCAGGGGGCTTGAGAGAGACCCTCCTCTTCTCCTCTCCACCTGTTACAAGGTGTCAGTCCTCCTGAGGAAATCCAAAGAGCAGCTCAGTCAACAGGCCTCGACTCAGGGTCACTTTCTAGGGAATGCCTTTGTCATGCACTTTCTGTGTTTCTGTCCTTCTGTATGTGTGTCTTTGTGTCAAATGCACATACGTGGCTGTGATCCATCTGGCTAAAAGAACACAACACAACCCTCCACCTGCTTGATGGGGATTGAAATCCCACCATTTACAGAGTTTTTGCTTAAAAATGATCTTCTCTTAAAAATGCTAATTCCTCAGGAGAGGGAATATGGTTAATTTACTTATTTACAGTTAGTAAGAGTGAGCTTGTCAGGTTCTTTCATGAGCAAAGATTTTTTGTTGAGAAATGCGGAGCCTCTTACTAGAGTCTAGTCACTAGGCAGTGAGACCCTTGAAGATAGTTGTATCTGATTGGTATTGGAGATGTCCGCCTCGTAAGAACCTTCCACGTAGCAGTTTCTCACTACTGGTTTTTTATATGAATAATCTTCAAGTTACCTTCAAATTCCCAGTAAAGCTATCATATACACGACTGCAAGTAGTAAAATTTTGGTGGGAGGAAGAGCCAAGGAGGGGGAATCCGGCCTGCCATTTGGGCTGGGTTGAACCTAGAATTACAGTGGAGGAATCACTGTAAGACGGAACAGAAACGTTGAATTCAGGAGATTCTGGAAATTGGAGTAAGAAGCAACTGGAACAAATTTTAAGATCCAAATTACTGAGAGTCCAGCTGAGGGCATCAACCTTCTTGTAGGATGGGGGATGGGGACGTTCCAGCTGACGTTTGTTGACTTTGAGGCACAGGTGACACAGATGGCATCTGGGCTCATTCATTTCCCTCCCATGCCCCTCAAATCAGGATAAACCTTTCACGTGCGTTCCCACTATCCTGAGAGGCAGTATAATGTAGTGGTTAACAGCCCAACACACTGCATGAGGCTGCTGAGGTATAAATCCCAGCGCGGCTGTGTATGGCTACATGACCCCAGCCGGGCAGTTGTCCTGCAGGAGTGGAGTGGAGTGGATTGCCTGGGATTGAATTCTGTCTGTTTATGGCCTAGTTACTTCACCTCTTTGCCTCAGTGTCCACATCTGTAAAATGAAGATAATAATGGTATCTGCTTCATCAGTTGTTGAAGTATGAAATGTGTTGATACATACACAGTAGTTAATTTGGTGCCTGGCACATACTGAGAGCATTAGGTATTAGCTAGTATCTTGTCCCATGCATGGAGCCATACTTGCGGATGACATGCTATGAATTCTCTGAAGTCTAGACATTTGTCTGGTGGCATGAAGGGTGATTTGCACATTTGGCAGGGGGCAATGGTCTCTGGTTGTCAGGGTGCCCTTCTACTCGCTCCCCAGAGATGCATGTAAAATATAAAAATAAAAACCCAATCCATTCATTTTTGTACCCATAAGTTCCATTTCCCAAGGCACAGGGAATTTACCATCCTACTGGGTGGAGAAGTCAAAAGATGACATTTCTTTTCTATTCCGTGATTGATCTTGAGAGCTAGTGTGAATTGACAAAGGAGGCGGCATGTTTCCAGCACGCTGAAGGTACTCCTGTATTCTTCCAGGAGTGTTTTACTCATTCAGAATATTTTTTAAAAAATTTTTTAAGAAAAAAATTTTTAAGATTTATTTATTTGAGAGAGAGAACGGAGGGGGTGGGTAAAGGGAGGAGAGAGAGAGAGAATCTCAAGCAGACTCCCTGCTGAACATAGAGCCCAATGTGGGGCTCAATCTCACCACCCCGAGATCATGTCCTGAGTTGAAATCAAAAGTCTGATGCTTAACTGACTGAGCCACCCAGGTGCCCCTCATTCAGAATATTTATTAAGCACCTACTGTGTGCCAGGTACTACTGTAGGTCCTGGCAGTAAACAAGACCCAACAAACTCCAGAATGCTATTAGAACTGCTCATCAATCACCTCTTATTCAGTATAGCATCTTCTGAATGACCCCAAATGGCCATAAGATTCTGAAGTGTCCTGTGAATCACCAAAAAAAGATGGCATGATGACCTCTATAGTTTTGGTGACAAGCGTGTTTTGTTGCATTCTGATATTTTTTTGGAAATAGATAGTCTATCTAACACATTGACATTTTCCATAAATATTGAATTAGACTGGCCCATTCCTAGAACGCAGGGAGAAGTAGACACTACATGAGTTACTTGTACCAATTTGATGGTTTTCTCTTGCTTGTATGTTTTCCTTGTACGCGTTCTTTGGCCTCTTGCCAATTATTATTTCTTGTCTGACCTGTTGGATTGTGAGCTTCATTAAGGGAGGAACCTTCCTAAGCCCGTGCACACCCCTCTGAGGACATTGCCTGACCAACTGCTGGCCTGGGGCGGAGGGGACCCAGGCAAGTTGAAGGGAGGAAGGGTCTGCTGCCTGGTGAGATGTGCAAGCAAGCCCTGTTGCAGAGCCCTGCCCTGGGGGCTTTTTTCTGATATTCAACGGAAAACTGTCAGGGGAATGAGGTCCTAACATACCTCTTTGCTGTGGTTCTCTCAGCTTCTCCGAAATGACCTGATGGGGTAAAAATCTCTCCAGATTTCCTGGAGCACTAATGGTCTTTGCTTCTAGGAATCCTGGGCAGAAACTTAGGAGAGTTTGGGAGCTGGTTCTCTTTTTTGACTTGAAGGAATCCATCTGCTGGGAGACCAGGGAGAGGTCAGGATCACTGGTTCACACACACACACACACACACACACACGCCTGCCCCCTTTGGGCCCTCAGAGAAAACTGATTTCTTGGAAGGAAGAAGACACTCGGGGTGGAGCCGACGAAGAGAGGGGAGTCAACATGATGCCACAGAGGGTCAGCTGGAGGGAGGAAGGCAAAACTCCCATATGGAAAAGGACACTAATGATAGGGAAAGAAATTTTATTTTCAAGCTTTTAAGAGAATAATACAAACAACAGAGAGTTTTAAAAAACCCTAAAAACTAGTTTAAAAAAGCACTTGACAGTGTCCCTTTAATATCCATGGATGGCGCGGCCATTGTGCATTGACAGTGGGAAACTCTGCAGGTGACCACCCCCCTGTGGTCTTCCTGGCAAGGTCCCAGGAGCCAGCAGGCAGGCTCAAGGGCAGTGCTCCCTGCCAGGGTCCCAGCACCCTGCCTAGCTGCATGGGAGGGACCAGGGAGTTTGTAGCACTGAGGGATGACTGCCCTCGGGGGAGGGTCCCAACTTGCAAGGAATACTTAGATTGGTCTCCACTCCACTCCTTGGGGGCACGTCCCGCCAACTTCCTCTCATCCGCTGCAGCAGCTACCCTGGGAGACCCTGGGTGGGAGGTGCTCTGCCCTTGGGGGGCCCTGGGTCTCTGCATGCTCCAAAGCAGGAGAAGGCATGACATTGAGCGTGTCCTGGCCACGGGCAGGGTTGGGGAGTCGGGAAAGTCACTCCTGGATTGACAGTTTTGAAGGCTGAAGTCACAGCAGCAGGACTGTGCTTGAGATGCCCATGGGAAATCTGTACTTTTCTCTAGTTGTATGTGTGTTTCCTGTAAACATCTTTGAGCCAAACCACCATAAAATAAAGTAACAAGGGCACGAAAAGACACCCATCTCCAAACCTAAGCCCTCTTTGAACCCCCCTGAAATTGGGAGAAGCTGAAATCGCTGTCCCTCTGGGCGCTCACTCCAACATCTCCCTCCCTGCACATGACCCCAGAGTCCCTAAAGCCATCTGAGTCAGGAATCCTGCCCACCCAGATGAGCCCAGGGGCCACCAATGCTGCCTGTCATCCTTGCCAGCCCACACCCATCCCTCTCCCTCCCCACCACGGCCCCAAACACAGCCCCCGGAGAAACAAAAGCAAACTCAAGGGGAAAACAAGGCAGGCCACAGTGCTTTTCCTTCGTGCACCCTTTGCATTTTTCCTCCCCAGCCCTGGTGCACACAGGGGCACCACCACCACCAACTCACCGGCTGCACCTTCCCCCAGCCCCCACTTCGCCCAGCCCCCACTTCTCCCAGGTGTTTTGTGCATGGGCACATCCAGGATTATTGTTGTGTTTCCTTCGGTTCCGGCTGGATTGCACTTCCTTGTGGAGTTTGTCCTGGAGTTCTTGCTCTTGTGGGAGATTGGGCTTGACTGATTGGAATCACAAAAGCTCTTTGGACACCAGCCTCACTCACTCCAGCTCTGATCCTGCCTCCAGGGCCCCCTCAAGACCCACCGCCCTCTGCCTGCCCTCTGCCTGCCCTCTGCTCTGGCCCCTGGGGTGCCCCCTGGCCTCCCCACACCTGCTCCCCAGACTGCGGCCCCGCCCGGCCCGGCCCCTTCCCGGCCCCGCCTCCCCGTCTCTGTGCAAGGTCACGGCCTCCCTTTCAGGTGTCTCCTCTCACACTGTTGTGACCCTCATGACGAGCTCCCGGCTCCCGCCCTGGGGGCTCCGCGGTTCATGAGGTCGTAAGTGACTCAAGATGTGCAGGATGGTGTAAGCACAGTGGTGATCGGACAGAGGGCCTGAGGGATGGCTGGCCGCCCGGGCAGGGCCTTCTTCAGGGCCCGGGGTGCCCCCAGCTTCCTCTTCCGAGGAGGGGGCATTGGCCTGGGTGGCTGAGGAGGTCCGGGGATTTGTCCTGCCTCCCGACTTTTGATCCTCCAGGTCTTTTGTCTTGTCATAGTTTAGCACTTTCCACTGCTGGTTGACAGCCTGCCAGCGTTTAAAGATGCGGTACACGGAGGGTCCCTCGTGCACGATGAGACCTGTGGCACCAGGGAGAGAGGAAAGCAAAGGCTGAGTAAGAGACCGGAGGTCACTGCCGGAAAAACTGTCTCCCTGCGCGTATCCACCGAGAGAGAAGTTGGAGCCAGCTGGATTTGTTACGGGTTTGATTTGTTCTTTTCAAACCTCCCTTTCAGCTCTGAGCCACAGGGCTACCATCCCTGTATTCTAGGCTCTATGTGTCCTCAGAAGGGGAAGGTGGAAGGCCGCCATACCTAGTTCATGAAACGGTGCCGTGCCTACGGGCAACGCCTTTGCCTACCTTTCCTCCACCCCTCCCACTTCTTGGCTTGACAAAACCCCAAATCATCATCCACAGAGGCATGGTAGAAATGTATTTTCCTCCCTCTACCACGTAAGCCGTGGCACCTGGCACTTGGCAGATGTTGAATGAACCGTGTGCTCTCAAAGGCACCATGAACAGGACCATGGGCATTCCGTACCTGCCAAATGATGTCTGGAATTCCACTGGTTAACTCTCTGCTACTTAACAAATAGCCCAGTGCTACTGAACTACACCCCTGGGAGAGAGGACTTGGACCCAGCTATACTGGCCAGAAGCAGTGTAGAGCCAGAAAGAAGCCACGCCACACAACCAGGCAGATCAAGATGGGTTATGTGCCTACTCTGTTCCAGGCACTGGGGCTGGTGCAGCGAGCAGGACACCAGAGTCCTGCCTTCCCAGAGCTGATATTCTAGTGGAGAGACACGCAGCCGACACATAACCAAACCCATGAGACTATCTCAGGTGCTGACAAATGCTACAAGGAAGATAAAATAGGGTTAAATAGAAACTGGCTGCAGACACTGAGGGTCCTGCTTTATCAAGAGGGAGGTGGGAGGCGGGAAAGGCCTTTTGCGGGGAGGTGATATTTACATTGACATGTAAATGATGAGGAGGGGACCATGCAAAGATCTGCAGAAGGGCATGTTAGTGATAGGAACTGCAAGTGTGAAGGCCAGCAGGTGGGAACGGAATGCACATGGGTCAGGAAGAAGGTCAGTGTGGCCAGGGTGCAGTGATGAGTGGGAAGAACAAAGAGAGATAAGGTAGGGAGAGGTCAATATGATAAGGCTTTATAGGCCAAGGCAAGGGATTTTTATTTTATCCTAAGTATAATGGGAAGCCCCTGAAGGGTTTTAATGGGAGGGGCGGGGTGATGTGATCTGGTTTACCCTTCAGAAAGTTCATTCTCGATCCTGTGGAACTGGATGAGGGAAACGAATAGGAGCAGGAGACCAAGCAGGAAGTGATGTAGTGATTCAAGCAAGAAGGGATGTAGTGATTCAAGCAGGAAAGGATGTAGTGATTCAAGCAGGAAGGGATGGTGGCCTAGACTAGGGTTATAGCAGGGAATTCCGTAAGAAATTGTGTGGTCAGGGTATATGTAGAGGTAGTGCTCACACACTTGCTGACAAGTAAGGTGTGTGAGTCAAGAGAAAAATCTGGACAGCTCAGGAGCTTTTCGTGGCCATGCCATTTACTAATACGTGGACAGCAGGAGGGTAGGGGGTATGAATTTGTGTGGCTGTGGTCATGACTATATCAGTTTCCTATTGCTGCTGTAACAAATGACCACACAGTGGCTTAAAATAACACACATGTATTCTCTTAGAGTTCTGGAGACAGAAGTCTAAAGTGAAGGTGTCAGAGGACTGGTTCTTTCTGGTGGGTTTGAGAGGAGGATTCATCTCCTTGTCTTTAAGCTTCTAGAAGCCACCTGCATTACCTGTCTCTTCCCTACATCGCTCCACCTCTTTGTCCAATGTCATAACTCCTACTCTTCTGTCAATGTCTCTCTCTGCCTCGCTCTTATAAGAACACTTGTGATTGCATTGGATCTGCCCAAATAATCCAGGATTCTCTCCCTATGTCACAATTCTTAAATTACTCACATCTGCAAGTCCCCTTTGCCATATAAGGTAAGATTAACAGTCTCCAGGGATTAGGACCTGGATGTCTTTGGGGGCCATTATTCAGCCTACCACAGTGATTAATAGTTGTATTTTGGTTATGGTAATTTAAGATGTCTGATAGAAATCTCACTGGAAGGTCCGGGTGGGCAGTTGGACATATGAGTCTGAGGTTAGGGAGAGGTCTGCCCAGGAGGTATAAGCCATCAGTGTAGAGGTAGAATCTGAAGCCTTAGGAATGGCCCAGATCTCCTGGGGAGAGAAGGTAGACAGATAAGAGAAGGGGTCCAATGACAGATTCCTGGGCCTTCTCATGTATAGAGGTTTGGTGGAGGTAGAGCCAGCAAAGGAGGCTCTAAAGGAGCAATAAGTGGTATAGAAGCAAGACCAGCAAGTGTGTAGACCCAGAAGTCTAGAGAAGAATGTGTTTCAAGAAAGAGAGTGTGCTAACTCTCAAATTCCATTGAAAGGGCAGCTCAGATGGAATGAGGAGTGCCATTGGCTTAGTAAGCACAAGTGGAGGGAGGATGATAGATATGAAAATCAGGTAGTTCTCATCCAAGTGCCTCTGTCTCTTCTATGTCATTAGCTAAGATGGAAGGGATACAGGAGGAAGTGTTGAAGATTTGTGGAGAGAAGAAAAAGTGGGAAATGATTATGGTGGAAAGTGGGAGACTGAATTTACAAAGGAGATGTAAAAGAATTGTCTGACAGTGTTGAGTGTCCATTTGATATTTGTGGCCACAAATTTGAAATGAGTTGTGTGGCTTTTCTCCATACCTTCAACTGCCTTCTAGGTGCACTTATGGAGTATGAAAGTTGAGTTTAATCAGTACGGACTTTTCTCAGGCAAGCGAGACATAAGAGAGGACAATGAGAATTATGGATGTTTGCAAGGGAGTAGTTATCACACTGGCCCATGGAGTCTAGGCTGGGGAGAAGGAAAGTGATACACAAAAGGGATAAGGAAAAATGGAAAGTGATAGGGTCAATGCCAAGAGGTCTCTTTGAAGTTACAGAATTGCTAGAGTCAGTGATCTACAAGGATGGTGAAGGGGAGTGATGCTCAGAGAGTAGGATGTTTAAATCCAGATTTTGGAAGTGGTGTGGTTCTTGGTGATGATGAGGTCTAGGGAATGTCTGCTTGGGTAGGGGCTGAGGTGGGCTAAAGGAAAAGGCCTGTGGAGTAATGAGGTAGCCAAGGAGTTGGACAGATTATCTGCATCAACCATCCTCAATGCTATCAGACCAAATGCCCCCTTTTAAAACAAATATAGTTTAATATCCCCTTTCTTACTTATCCTGAAGTGAAATTCACAAGATAAAATAAGCTACCATGATTTCTTTTTTTAAAAAAATGCCCTAAACAGATAATGTTAAAAAACAAAAAACACAAAAAACAACAACAGGAGAAGTCATTTATAACCAGGCAATATAAATTTCAAAACAAATTCTGGGGCACAACTACACTAGAAAACAAACAAAAAACCTCAAAGATGTGCAAAATGCCCCTAGGAGATGGTACCACCTCTGCTGAGAGCCACTGATCACAGAGATGCTAAAGACAGGAATGGTGGGAGGGAGTGTATGAACCAGGGGCCCCTAGGAATGTGAGGAGTGAGTAGGCAGCCAGCAGCCAATAGCATAAAGAAGGGGAAAGGGGAGGTCAAATATGATGACATGCACTGCAAGGGGCGGGACTTTTGAAGGATAAGGGAAGAGAGGTGGTTTGGAAGCAGTAATGGGGAGCAAAGAGGATGTGGACCTTACCCCCAGGCCCTGTAGAATACAGTATATGGGAGAAAAAGCAGCTACCACTTGAGACAGCAAGAAACAGTGTCCTCAGAAGATAGCTGTTTCAATGAAAGGAACACTCACAGAAGAAGTTGCTAGTGATGGACCATGAGGTCCGGAGGAAGGGCTGGGAAGATGGGGCCGGTTAAGGAAAGTGCACAATAGGAAAGTGGTAATTGTCCATATCATGAGCGTGGTCTGGGGGGCTGGGCCCCGTGATGGGGAGTGAGAAGACTGGGCATTCACCCTGCAGCAACTGTCAGTGGAGGGGAGGCTGACCGCCTGGCCTCAGGGGCGGGGGGGGGGGGTGGGGGGTGAGGAAGAGCTGACTCACAGGAGCAAATAGCCATGAGTCACTCCAGCCTCCTCAGTGTCAAGCAGAGACGGAATGGAAACATCTCAAAGCTTCTCCAACCTTGAACATACTGTGATTCTATGAGACAAGATAGCCACCCACTGGCACTCTTTCCTCTAGTGTGACAACAGTTCCTGAGATTGCCCTTTGGCAACAAGTTTCCAAGTGTTCCTTAGAGAGACAGTCTCCCTGTGGCCCAGTTGTTCCTAATCTCTTGGGTCATGTACCACTTTGAGGATCTGATGAAAGCTAAGGACCATCTCCCTGGAACAAAAACCACACAGATGAATCTAGGGGTTCATAAATCTCCCAAAGACCACCAATGGACCCCTTCATATGGCCTGCCCGACCCTGAACAAGGAGACCTCTCTGCCCCCTGTCTCATCACCCTGCCCCAGTCACTTCCTTCAACCTTGTGAATATGTGTCCTGTGTTCATTATTTCTACAAGCCTATCTGAACATTGCAATGCTCTTTTCCCTGGACTGTTAGCCCCTTGAGGACAGAGACCAGGAATGGTTGAGGGTTGGGCAGCCAACACAGTAGCTGGAGCTTAACAAAGCCTTGGTGATGATGGAGGAGATGGGGGCCTCGGGGAGAGAGAAGCAGAATCTTTTGAAGCCCCAAACTAACTCTTTCCAATAACAGCCACTACACTTGATTCTTAATTAGCTTCTTGATCAGACAATTTTACCCTGATTGAAGAGGGTGGCTTAAAATTTTGGTCTGAACGCCGCCTTCTGATTATCTGTCTAGTGTTCAGGAAGTAATTAAACCACTTTAATGGATAGATGGCTGAAGGGGGGAAGGTGCACCTGTTTTTGTGGATAATGCTTGTTGGGCAAAAATGGGAAAAGCACAACTACCTCATTCCCATCCACTCCCCTTAGCTCTCCCTCTGCTTCCTGTTCTACAAATT